CAAGTAGGTACCGTACATGCGAGTATTCATGCGTATACGTATGCAGATGCGCACGTGCAGCAAAGATTCAACTCATTATTTCCAGAGCTAATTTGTCATTAATTTGTTGACCTACATGCATAAGCTCCAGATTACATGGACAGGTCTGTCAACTTACATGTGTAGCTTGTAAATCAACAAAAACATTCTGTTTACTGTCATGTAGAAAGTTGTAGAGCTGCAAGTTACTGTTTTTGCAGTTCTCGTTGTAGGCAAGCTGACGAGCTAGACTCATTTGCGCTGCGACGTTGGTACTGTAAAAGCTGGCAGATTCTCTTTGGATCGCGCTCGCCGTGTCGGACTGCATATACGCAGGGCAGCCAGACCCGCTTTGTCACTGCAAATGCATTTGCGCTGCCGACGCGGCACTGTGCTGAACGCTCCTTCGGTACATTCACGCACCACGCACGCCGTGTCGTGCCAGGTCAGGGAAGAAAGCTGACTCGTACAGTAGGGTACTGGTGTGCACATACAGCCAAACAAAACCACATACCCCCCTACTGCCCATTCCGTTTTTGTTGAAGGTGCAACTCCCCCCTGCCCGCAATCTCGTTTTTGCATGCATTTGTAGCATTCACTCGCCATAGGAGGAGTATTCTGTGAGTTGTTTGAACTGTTTTTGCTGCCCCTTCAGATTTGGCCTGGTTTAGGTTTCTCCTCCCCACGCGAGCAAGGGCCAAGGCACCCACGTTCGTTCAAGGGGACCAAGCAGGCCAGAAAGCACACGAAATGCCATGTGAGTGGGCTGGGCTCACAATCGCTCACCTAACTCCCACTCCCGTTTTTCAGGCCTCGATTCTTATCATCCGCCACTCTATCTCAACTCAACATCCGAGCCTCTCTTCTAGATCGCCCTCCGCCATGGGGCATGGCATCACCATTTCGTAAGCCTGCTTTCTTAGTCGCAGTCACGCTATCGTAGTTTCGTTTTTCGTGATTTCGTTTGCTATTTTTTTTTTTTTTTCAGATCTCGTTTCAATCTCAAGCCATTCTACTCAAGAGCGCAGCCTCTCTTTTGGATCCCCGTCCAACGCACGGTGGGCGAGGTCTCCGAAACGGAGACACGGGGCCAGAGGTTGAGCTGATGCGCGGGGTACTGCACTGCAAACGGCCACAGGAAATGGGGGGCAGCCGCATGGATCATGGAGGTACGAGCGACCTCCATGAATAGACCAATGCGGCGCTCAGCAACCCCATTATGCTGCGGAGAGGCCGGGAGAGTGAACGTCTGGCGGATGCCGTGCTCCGCACAGTAGGCTGCCAAGAGGTAAGAGGAAAACTCACCACCTCTGTCAGAGTGCAGACGCAGGACAGGAAAGTCCGACTTGAACCGCTTGCGGAGCTGGAGACGAGCAGCGCGGATCCAAGGGATCAAGACATCAGGGACCTCACCCTTGGTACGCAAGGGAAGACCGTGGTGTAGCGCGTGTAGTCGTCGACGACCAGCAGAAAGTACCGCTCGTGGCCCTGTCCCCGGACGCGGGCTGGGCCCCACACGTCCAGGTGGAGAGTCTGCAGGGTAGCCTCTGTGGGAGGGAACGAGGAGGAGTGAGGAGGAGCGCGCTGCCGCCCCTTGACACAGGGAAGACAGGGAGGAGCAGGCGAGGGTGGGGGGGGAGGGAGAACCCTGGGAAGACCAGACACAAGGTACTGGGAGTGCATGCCGCGAAGGCGCTGCACTGACGGGTGACCAAGGCGGTGGTGCCAGAGGACAGTCCGGTGTGACAGGGAGCGACACAAGCAGGGGGCCGACAGCTGACCTGACATAGACGCAGACGTAGCTACCTGAGGGGATTCAGTGGTCAGTGTGTACAAGTCCGACCCCGGCTGCCGAATGAAGGTAGCCAGGTGACGACCCGTCTGGGCACACGTGCAGTGCGTCACACGCTCGTAGGCAGGGGTGAACTGGTGAACACCCGTGTCCTGGAGCGCGGAACCCGCCACCAAGTTCGTAGAGAACGAGGGGAGGTAAAGGCCCGACAGCGTGCCAGACGGGACAGCAGGACAGGGGAGGGCAGTGGTGGAGGTCGCAAGGACCGGACCCCCTGAGGGTTTAGCCAGGGAGACAACAACTGGTCTAGGAAGCTGCTCTAGGGCAGTGCGGTCGCGAAAGAAACAGCGGGAAGCACCTGAGTCCAGTGTGAAGGTGTGCAGTGCCTCAATAGACGCGGTACCAGCAGACGCAGACGCGCTAGTACCTAGAGCAGCAGCCTCACCAGGACCTAGGGCAGCAGACACACGAGCACCTAGAGCTGCAGCCTCACTGGTCCCAATACCCGGGTCGGGCGGTACACGCAGATAACAGTCACCCTCAACACTAATAGTCAATGCATACATAGCAGCAAGGATAGCATCATAATCAAGAGCAAAGATATCAATTCCCTTCTTAAGCAGATCAGCCCAGCGGGGCAGCTCAGAGGCGTGAGGAAACTGCTCGCGCCAGGCGTCGTCAAGGCGAAAGAAACAGCGCTGCGCCGTGTGAAACCTCCCACACGTCTGGCCAGTGCGGTTACCTGTGCGGATGACGTACGGGCAGGTACCTCCACCCCCAGACCCCCCACGCTGAGAGTACCACTCACGGAGCTGCTGGGGCGACTGGGGCTCGCTGGGATGCTGCTGCTGCTGCCTCTGGCCCCCGCCGAACCCGCCACGCTGCACCGCTCCACCGCGCCTGCCACCAGCTCCACCGCCGCCCCCACTGCCACCACCACCCCCGCCACCTCCACCACCGCCGCCGCCACCACCCCCGGCTCCGCCACTAACCCCCCCACCACCAGCACCACTCCCACCACCGCCGCCACCGCCGCCGCCCCCTCCACCCCCTCCACCACCACCTCCCCCGCCGCCACCTCCGCCACCCCGGCCCCCCTTGCCCCTGCCACCCTTGCGCCTCCCACTGGGAGTGAATGCAGCTCCGGCCCCCTCAGCACCGAGGAAGTCGACAGCAGCAGCAGATGCAATTGAGGGGAGAAGGGGGGAGGGGGAACATCCCTCAAAGACAGGAGTGCGAGGGTCGCCACGAGAGGCACCTACAGCTACAATGCTCTTCTCAGCTTCAAGGAGTTCCTTCTCAAGTAGGTCGACAGTGAGATCGGTGGGTAAGAGAGTGAGAAAGTGGTCCCTGACAGAGCGGAGAGAGTCAGGGAGGTGAGTGACGAGGTGGTAGAGGGTGAGGTAGATCGGGGGAGGGTTCTTGGATAGGAAGTCGGGGGGGGAGCGCGGCACGGTAGCAGAGATCACTAGTACGAAGGTGAGTGATGAGGTCAGCTACAGTGGCGAAGGCAGACAGATCCGGGAAGAGATAGGGCAGCGAGAGACGGCCTATCGCAGCAGTAGCTGGGGAGGAGTAGCGGGCAACTACAGCATCATACAGCTCCTTAGCGGTCTTATGCTGGCCGAAATGCTCACGCTCATCTAACGGCAGGTGGCTGCGAACGGCTAGGCGAGCATGGGCGTCATGAGTCTGCCATTGTGAGCGAGCGGTACTGTCAGCTGTAGCAGCAGGTGCGGGAGCAGCGCCGGACGTGTGGCCATACAGGGAAACGTCGTCCTTGGCAGTGATCTGGAGGAACAGGTGCAGGTCATCTAGCCAGACATCAAACTTAATCGGTCGGCCCTCAGCGTCAAAGGTGAGAACAGTAGGACTGGCCATAGTGGCAGTAGCAGTAGCAGCAGTAGCAGTAGCAGTAGCAGTAGCAGCAGTAGCAGTAGCAGTAGTAGCAGTAGCAGGAACAGGAACAGTAGTTGCTGCAGGTGGGGCGGCGCGACTCGGTCAGGGCGGCGCGACTCGGGCGGCGCGGCTCGGGCAGGGCGGCGCGGCGTGGCTCGAACTAGGCTACGCGGCATGGCGCAGCGGTGGGCCTGCGCTAGGGCGGCTGTAGCGGGCGGTCCGCGGTTGTGCGTGATTGCAGTCGCGCGCGGGCGGCGGCCTACGAGGGCGATGCGGCGGCCTACGGGCGGGGCTGCGATGGTCTTGACGGCCAGAAGGGCCGGTCGACGGGCGGCTAGCGGGCTGCTCGTGGGCGGCGCTAGTCGTGCGGGTAGCTAACAGTCGGCGCGCGCGCAGAAGAGGCCGCGCACGGGCGGCTAGCGGGCTACGCGCGCAAAAAAAAAAGGCCGCGCGCGGCACTAGCGAGCTGCGCACGAGCAGCAGGAGAAGGAGAGGCGCACGAGGGCGCACTAGGAGATAGGCGCTCGAGGGCGCTAAGTTATTCAGGCGCTCAAGGGCGCTTCTAGCGGAAGGTGGGCCCTTAGGTAAGCGATCCTAGGTCTAAACCTACGCTCTTAATACCATGTTAGAATCAAGAAGTGATGAACTAGAAACATTTGGGAGTACAAGTATGAAACCCTAGAGAAATGTACCCCCTAAAGGCTAACCCACTGTAGCCTATACAGCAGTAACATATATAATGTTTGACAATATGTATATGTATATGCATATGTATATGTATATGTATATGTATATGTATATGTATATGTATATGTATATGTATATGTATATGTATATGTATATGTATATGTATATGTATATGTATATGTATATGTATATGTATATGTATATGTATATGTATATGTATATGTATATGTATATGTATATGTATATGTATATGTATATGTATATGTATATGTATATGTATATGTATATGTATATGTATATGTATAGGTATATGTGTATGTATATGTATATATATGTGTATATGTATATGTATATACATATGTGTGTATGTGTGTGTGTGTGCGTGTTGCGGGTGCAACGGAACGAGACAGCGAGGATTGCACTAGGTGTCAAACGAGTACGAGAATGTGTTAGAATGTGTTATTTGTCTAGTCTGCAGTGCGGTACTCTATAGTGAGTACAGCTCGATTAGGGTTTGCTATATGTACTGTCCTGCTTACTAGTGCAACACTCTTCTGCTGTTCTTTCTCTCATGCTAGTACCCAAAACTCTAACTATGGCTACTAAGTACTAGCTACTATTCTTGACAGTATGAAGGAAGGCAATGATCGAATACTTATGTGCGAACATGCAAACGGTTATGCGGCGCGTGCGAGCTAGCTATTGCTAGGCTGGCATTGAGGTTCTGGTTAGCGTAGGCTGATTCGGCCAAACCAGTGGTGCATGACCTGGTGAAACAGTGCGCGCAAAGTTAACACAGCCTTGTTTACAGAACGGGTGAACAACGGCTGCTGCTCTACGCGATGTGTCAGAATAACGAACATGAATGAATGAACTAGAAGCAGGATGGGTACAAGTAGCAAACCCTAATTTGGGTTGTACCCCATATGGGCTACCCCACTACAGCCTACACAACAAGCAGCATGTAGTTTGACACACCCCCATAGGCAAAGTGGGGTATAACAAGAGGTCACAAGACCAGTCAAGAAAGGCAAAGAAAGCTCAGGGTGGATCACGAAGTCACCACACAATTTGAGCACGAGCAAATGGCCATAAGGCCAGTTCACATGCAGAGTTATATACGAAGGAGAGCAAACAGAACAATGATCACAACCTAGCAAGTGTAAGCATGCAGGTAAAAGTATATAGATCACAGTACAAGCAAAGTCAAGAAGTGAGCAAGTGAGACCAGGTAGGCACAAGGCCTAGAACAGTACAGAAAACGCTGATGATCACAAGGCTAAAGTGCCTTGGTGAAGATATCAGCAGTGTTGGCCTGAGAGGCCACGTAAACAAGACGAAGCTGACCACGCTGCTGCAACTCTCGAGCAAGGAAGTAGCGCAGAGCTATGTGCTTCGTTCTGTGCTCCTGACACAAGGCAATCATGGCCTTGTTGTCGACGTACAGAACTGGAGTAGAACGAGGCGGCTCTCCCAAGTCGGTCACAAGGTAGGTGAGCCAGCGTAACTCCTGTGCAGCCATGGCCCCTGCATAGATCTCAGCCTCAAAATTGGAGCTGAGAACAGAAGACGAGCGGGTAGACCACCACGAAACAGAACCGGAGCCAAGGCTGAAGGTGTAACCCTGTGACGACCGCTGCGTAGCCAAGTCGTCAACCCAAGAAGCGTCTGCATGACCAGTGAGGACAACTGGACCCCGTCCTCCAAGCACGAGCCCCATGCCCGACGTACTGCACAAGTAGCGCACCACCCTCTTTGTGGCCTTCTAGTGCTCTGGTCGGTGTCTCCCGGACGCAACGTAGCGTACCAGGATGCTAAGAGGGTAAGCAAGGTCAGGTCGAGTGCAGGTCATCAGGAACATGAGGCACCCCACAAGCTCTGGATACGGGCCACTCGGCTCTACGGACTCATTCGAAGGCAGAGCAGAGAGCGGGAGTGGGCTGTGGCGAGGAGTACTTGAAGCGGAAGCATTGAAGGACCTGCTGCACCATGTGTGACTGAGTTAAGGTAATGGTGCGCCGTGCTCTATCCCAGGTGATCTGCAAGCCAAGGTAGCTCCGCAGCTCACCCAGGTTTGTGTACGTGTGTGTCTTTAGCAGCTCGGACTTCATGTGGGCCAGTCCAGTAGTGTCAGCAGTGGCAAAGACCAAGTCGTACACGTACACGAGGATGTAGAGCAGCGGTAGCAAAGTGTCGGTGTGTAGAAACAGCGACGGGTCAGCAGTAGAATGAGCAAACCCAAGAGCCATAAGAGTCGTCCTCAGTGTGTCGTGCCACTCACGGTCGCCTGGCGGAGACCGTAGACTGGCCGCCAGAGGCTCCACTAGGTACCTGCAGGAAACAACCCAGTGAAACCAGGTGGGCAGCGCAGCTAGATCTCCTCGTGCAGGCTGCCCTTTAGGAAAGCAGTGCTGAAGTCAAGAGAGTGAAGCTCGTAGTCACGCTGAGCGGCGACGTGCAGCAGCACCTGAAGAGTGGTCATCTTTGGGGTAGGGGAGAAGGTCTGGAAAAAGTCAACTCCTTGTCGCTGACTGAAGCCTCGAGCAACGTAACGCGCCTTGAAGACAGGCGGAGAACCCGGCGGCCGCTTCACCCTGATAATCTACTTGCCATCGACGATGTTCGCCCCAGGAGGGGGAACCTCGTCGACGTAGGTGCCTGTGGACTTCCACGATGCCATCTTTGCGTCTATGGTTGACTGCTACTGAAAGGAGTAGGGACCCTCTATCGCCTCTGCGTAAGAGCGCGGGGTCGGGATGTCTGGTGCATCCGGGTCTCCCTCAGGTGCAATCAGCATGGACACGAGATGAGGTACAGCAGCTCCAAAGCACTCAAAGTCCTCCTACCTGTCCTCAAGGATGTCTGTGCCAAGAGCACACTCACCCCCGACGGACGGAGGACAGACAGACTCAGACTCAGCAACAAGGCTAGCGGCGAAGTCTAGACGACAGGTAGCAGCAAAGTCGACAAGCTCAGCAACTAAGGCATACGCAGCAGTGGACTCAAAGGAAGGGTTAGTGACAACAGTGGCCAGGAGACGCGTGACAGTAGGACTAGGAGCACGAAGGGAGTTAGACTCCGGGTCCGGACCGTCAGCAAGGGAGGATACAGGAGGAGACGGCAGAGGGACACGCAGTGGAACAGAGGAAGGACGAAGTGCCATCTGGTGCGTGCCGGGGACAGGAGGAGGACGCGGACGCGGAACACAACGACTAGTGCAAGCAGCGCGAACAGGCGACGCAGGACGAGACGCAGGACGAGACGTAGGACAAGATGCTCAGCAAGACCTCCGGTCGGCCCAGTGTAAGGAGAAGGACCAGGTAGTGGGGAGGCTGGCTGTAACTGCGACTGCGACTGGTCACGCGATGGACACAGTAAGGGAGGAGTAGGACCCGTAGAAGGCGGGAGACCAAGAACCTGCTGAAGGAGTGGAACGAAGTACGGCCGCGGCCGTGAAGCACCACCAGAACCAGCAGAGACAGCTCCAGTACCCCCAGCACCACAATCTTTAGCACCAGCAGCACCACCAGCAGGAACAGCTCCAGCGCCTCCAGCTCCAACTCCTGCAGCACCACCAGCAGGACCAGCTCCAACGCCTCCAGCTCCATCTCCTGCAACCCCACTAGCTCCAGGACCAGCAGCACTATTGGTGCAACCCTATGGTTTGCACTCGGCTTGTTGTCCGTGTGCGTGCATATGTGTGTGTATGGAATGGTATGAGGGCATGGGATAATATATATTTCATGCTTATAATTGTGTGTGAATGTTGAGTCATGATGTCGAGTGTGTGTGTGTCGAATCAATAGCGAGTTATCGCTAGACGCGTGTTACGCGGTCGTTTGTGTCTCGCGCGCGGTTTCTATTTTGTCGTGCGCGGTTTCTATTTTGTCCTGTGTCGAACGTTCGGCGTGTCGCAGGTGTGTGCAGAAGACCCATCAAGAACTCAAAGATGAGTTTGTGATGAAGAGCCCGAGCCTTGGTGTTAAGCCTCAAGTGATTTCAAAGCTCGCCAAAAGGGTGCACAAAAAAGGAAAGAGGGAAGGAGGAGGAGAAAGAGGGAAAGAGGGAGAGAGGGAGGTAAGGAGGGAGGGAAAGAGGGAGAGAGGGGGGAAAGGAAAGTGTGTGAGGCAGAGAATGGAAGGAGAGGAGCTGAGAGAATGAGGAGCAGATTGAGTCAATGTAGGGAAGGAGGGAGGGAAAGAGGGAGAGAGGGAGGGAAGGAGGGAGGGAAAGAGGGAGAGAGGGGGGAAAGAAAAGTGTGTGAGGGAGAGAATGGAAGGAGAGAAGCTGAGAGA